TGTCGATGATGCAAATTTTGTTTTTGAGACTGCAAATGCTGCAATATTACGTTTGACTAAAGAAATTGCATGGATGGAAGATATTCTACAGGCTGATTCTGCTTCATTCCTTAGAACAGGCCCTCCATCAACTTATGCTGATCGGGTATTTGAAAACGAAATCAATATAGCTGTCAGAACGACCGAGAAAAATTACAAGGATTACATGTTTCGGGAAGCTCTGAAGACCGGTTTTTATGATCTCCAAGCAGCTAGGGACGAGTACAGGTTTTCATGTGGCGCTGGAGGCATGAATCGTGATTTAGTTTTCCGTTTTATGAATGTCCAGACGCGACTTATTACTCCAATCTGCCCACACTATGCAGAATATGTTTGGAGGGAAATGTTGAAGAAAGAAGGATTTGTTATTAATTCTGGCTGGCCTTTGGCCGATTCTCCTGATTTAACTCTCAAAATTGCGAACAAATATCTCCAAGACTCAATAGTTTTGATGAGGAAGCTTCTTCAAAAGCAACTTTTAGGATCTAAAAAGGGCAACAAGAAGGGTGCTCCTGTCACAATGGTGATTGAGGACAAGAAATTAACTGGCTTGGTATATGTGAACGAGCAATTCGACGGATGGAAAGCAGAATGCCTAAGGATACTCCGAAGTAAATTTGACACGACTAGACGTACGTTTGCACCGGATAGTGAAATAATGGAGGCACTACAGAACAGTTCAGTTGGGCAGGCAGCAGATTTTAAAAAAACACAGAAGCAATGTATGCCATTCTTGAGGTTTAAGAAGGATGAGGCTGCTGCACTTGGGGTTCAGGCCTTGGCCTTGAAGCTTCCATTTGGGGAGATGGACGTCCTTAGAGAGAACTTGGAGTTGATCAAGAGGCAAATAGGTTTGGAAGAGGTGGAGATTTTGTGTGCATCTGATCCAGATGCTGTTGCAAAAGCCGGTGCTTTGGCTTCATTGTTGACTCAGAATCCTCCATCCCCTGGGAATCCTACTGCCATTTTCTTAACAAGTTGAGAACAATATTCAAGGCATTCTGGTGAGGGTTAATTGTCTTTCTGGCTTTATACTCTACTGTTTTATTAGACTCGCTATTTTTGCTATACGTTTTTTTATGCAATTCTAGATTTCTGATCTTATAAAGAGTGAATTTCTTTTGGCCCAAAAAATAAATTTTAATAGGTCGGTGTAGTTTTCTTTGAAGTTTTAGTTTCAACACGTTGAATTATGAGCTTACAAAATTTTGAGGATGGGGAGAATGTTATAATTGTGAAGATATGGAACTGCTCAAGCCCACCACTGCCAGGAGATATTGTTCTCTTTGGACTTTTCCTTTTGGGCTTCCCCTCAAGGTTTTTAAAACGCGTCTGCTAAGGAGAGGTTTCCACACCCTTATAAAGAATGTTTTGTTCCTCTTTCCCACTAATGTGGGATCTCACAATCCACTCCCTTTGGGGCCTAGTATCCTTGTTGGAACTCGTTCCTCTATTGATTTGAGATCTCTTCAAGACTCAATGTCCTCGCTGGCACATCGCCTGGTGTCCACCCCCCTTTGGGCCCAAACGTTCTCGTTGGCACACCACCCTGTGTCCACCTCCCTTTGGGGCTCAGCGTCTTCACTGGCACACCGCCCTGTATGGTTCAGATACCATTTGTAACCGTCCAAGCCCACCACTAGCAGATACTGTCTTCTTTGGGCTTTCCTTTTCGGACTTCCCCTCAAGATTTTTAAAACGCGTCTGCTAGGGAGAGGTTTCCACACCTTGATAAAGAATGTTTTGTTCCCCTCTCCAACCGATATGGAGTCTCACAATCTACCCCCTTCGAGGCTCAGCATCCTCGCTGCCACTAGTTCCTCTCCAATCGATATGGAATTTCACAATCTACCCCCCTTCAAGGTTCAACGTCCTCACTGGCACACCGCCTAGTGTCCACCTCCCTTTGAGGCTCAGCGCCTCACTGGCACACCGCTCGGTGTCTAGTTCTAATACCATTTGTAATAGTTCAAGCCCACTACTAGCAGATATTGTCGTCCTTGGGCTTTCCTTTTTGGGCTTCCCCTCAAGGTTTTTAAAACACGTGGAGAGATTTCCACACCCTTATAAAGAATACTTTGTTCCCCTCTCCAACCTTCCCCTCTTTAACCGATATGAGATCTTACAATCCACCTCCTTCGAGCCCCAACGTCCTCGCTGGCACGCATTCCTCTCTCCAATTTGCGTAGAATCTCATAAGATAATTTCAACCGATACTTTTTGGTATGACAGTGGGAGATGAGGCTTCATTGCTCAATATGGTACAGAAACAAGTGTTATGAGTAGGTTGCGAGTGGCATCTTTGTTTCCTTGTTATTTGCAATCCGTGCATCTACTGTTGGGCCAAGTTTGTTACACTGAACATTTCACGCATTATTTTCAACTTTAGTGAAACATAATCTATAGTTTCTTGCAGCATCCTGTTGATGTCCAAGTATGGGGTTCATGGTTTTCCCTTTAAGTTCTACAATGCATGCCCGTTACTCAAACTATCCCTTCTTTCATTGCCGATGTTACTCGTAAGGCTTTGATTATGAGCATATTTCAGTTTTGCTGCCTGCTGCCATGAGTAAACTTTACTGATTGTGAATCCATTGGAACTGAATGGTAACTGTGAAAGTTCTTATTAATGTTAACTTGTTTGCATTGTTTAACAGAAGACAATTTCCTTGCAAAAAAAAAAAAACATTTGTATATCACACTGTTGTTACTAATTTCACTTGTTAGATCAAGGTATACTAAAATCTTGGTTTTGGACCTATGTTTTCTTGCTCTCTTGATTCACTAAATTATTTCATTCTCTTTTGTTTGTTCTTTTGAGCTGTAATGTAATGTATGGCTTGGAGTGAAAATTGTTAGAAAGTATCCATGTATTTCGATTAATAATCTTTATTATAGATCGATATGTTGAAATTCTGCGAGAAAGAAAAGATTTCGTGGTACGGGAGGGAGGGTGTATGCTATCGTGTCGGAGCTATGGGAAGAGAAATAATAGAATTTAGAGTGTTCGAGAGATCTCGGATCGGATGGATGTTTGGTTCCTTGCTAGATTAAATGTTTTTTTTATTATAACCTTTTTTGTGTATTCTTTCAATTTTTTTTTCTTGAAAAGGTTTTATAAGATAGGAATGTCGCAATTTGAACTTCTCCATGAGTGTCGATGTTTTTTTTTTTCGATCTTTTGTCTATCAGAGACCTTTCTAAATAAGTTCTTCCTAAACCACAATAAAAAAACGAGTCATTTATTCCTCCAATCACCTTGTGTTTAAGCCATCACGAGACTAAACCTTCAAACAAAGAAGAACTCGTCGAAGTAACTCTACAAATTTCATCACAATCTAGTGTCGATTGAGTGGATAATTCATCTGGCGTTCAAGTTGATCACGAGATGAAGTTGCAAGTTTTATCCATCACCTTAACACTCAAATAAAGACAACTAACCAAAATCACAAATCGAGGCAACATGATAACATGCAAACAGACAAAATTCATTGCTATTCATTGTTTTTTAGATGGTTTGTGTGGTCGATAGTGAGAGTGTTCAGGAGCCTAATGATCTAAATAAGATTCACGACCCAACCTAATCATTTATTTTTAGATTAGTTTTGATTGGACGGTCGAATTGTATAATTTTTTAATTATTTAATTTTTTTATTAGATTAAAAAATTATATCATATTAATAACTAAAAAAATGAAATATTTACAAGTTATAATATATTACTAACATTTAGAACGTTAAATATTTCTAATTTTTATAAAAATTTAAAAAATTGAGATGGATTATAATTACAAGGGTTGAGAATATAGCGTCTTAGGAACACTTATTGATTCTTTTGAAAAAAAAAAAAAAGGAAAAAGAAAAAATCCTCAATCCGCGAGACACATTCATCCAACCACTAAAGGCACAATCCACGTGAAATCGGACGGCCATAAAATAAAATTGTTTCGACACACGGATCGCCATCCAACGGCCAACCTTCCATCTCCTTTCTCTATAAATACAACGAACTCTGTCAGTTTTCTTACACAGCAGGGACCTGAGTTTTTTCTCTGTAGATTTGAATCCTCATCTCCCAATCTTAAGCACAGCGACAATGTCCGGCAGAGGCAAGGGAGGAAAGGGCCTTGGAAAAGGAGGAGCAAAGAGGCATCGGAAGGTTTTGAGAGATAACATTCAAGGAATCACGAAGCCGGCAATTCGGCGTCTGGCCAGGCGAGGCGGCGTAAAGCGTATCAGCGGCCTGATCTACGAGGAGACTCGCGGCGTTCTCAAGATCTTCCTCGAGAATGTCATTCGCGATGCTGTCACCTACACCGAGCACGCTCGCCGGAAGACCGTCACCGCCATGGATGTTGTGTATGCTCTCAAGAGGCAAGGTCGCACTCTTTACGGCTTTGGAGGTTAGGGATTTTAGGATCTAGGGCTTGGATATTGGAGATTAAATGATTTTTCGGTGGTTTGAATGTGGAAACTGGTTCTGATTCTGGAGAAAAACTGTATATTACTGCTGATTATGTTAGCCTTGAACGTTGATTTCGATCAGCAGCAAGCTAATCGTATCTCTCGTTTGATGGGTTATTCTGTAGCTGGAAATCTTCTTTTGTCTAATTAGAAACTGTTTGTTTCAGACTCTAAACTTACCATGCTTCTGTTTGTCGGATCTGATTTCTAAACGATACTCTCAACTCTCAGAGTATTTTAGATCATTTTCAGATGTAATCTTCATGCAATGCTTTTCCAGATGAAAATTTCACAATCTCTTTCTCTGACAATTCAAGAGATATTTGAAAATTTTAGAAGTTTTCGATCTCCCGCATTCACTTTCGATTGCGAAGGGATTCGATTATGCTAATTAAATTGCCAAATTGTTTTAGAATAAACGATAATTTTCATTATGATTGTTAAATATCAGTGTCTTTTTGTAATTCAAATTTTTGGTAGTTTAACTTGAACCGAACGTAGGAATGATTTGTTCTATGAAACACAAATCTTCATAACATGAACTTTCTCACAAATGGACTCAATGAACTCATCCACCACTGGAAGAACATTGCAGCTTGCTTCTGCAAAACGCCATGAAAAAAGAACCAAAAAGAAGCCTTTGAAGCCAATTCCTCATTGACTTGAAAACACAAGTAAACAACACCACAAATCTCTCATTTACACACAGCTTAGTTTGCCTTGACTGGATCGATCTTGCTTGCGAAACCATCTATAGTATACGTAGCAAACTCAACATCTGCTATCATTTCTGTAGTATCTATCTGGTTCGGGCTGGTGTCGATACCTGCCTCAATGGTTAGTTTGTTATGCACTTAATGTTCAAGGGAAATGACTCGGTCGTGTGATCATCTGCGTTTGATGTTGCTCCAATGAAGCCTGCCATCTTCTTCTCCATCTGATAAACTCAACTAGGATCGAAGTACCGCTCATCACGACACCGAACCCGGTAAATGTTGCAAGAAGAATCGATAGAACTGCTTGGATGCCAACCTATTGCAAGCAACAACACCAGATTGAAAATAACATCTTGATTCAATATAAAAGATTTATGTGCATAGAGTTCTCACCACGGTGTAAAATATATGTGCGAAGAGAACGACGAGAGCAAATTGAAACGAGGCATACACCCAGACGAATCTTCTCTTAACTATATATAATTCACGAGGTTAGGATACTGAAAATTTGAAATCTTGTTCCATAATAAGTTCCGAAATGAAAAAAACGGTCACACTAATGGCTGCAAAATGACCACTTTTCGACACGAAGATGGTCGGCGAACTCTGAAACTAACAAAAACGATAAGATCAGATAGGGTTATGCAGCATTATTAGATTGCCTACCCATAGTTGATGAGGTCATGGATGAAAGCAGTCCAAGTACACAAGAAAAAGGCAGGGATATCGCGATTGCACCACTGCCCATTCTACCGACCTGAAAGACGATGACGTTTTTCAAGGGAATGTGCCAAGAACTCAATGAGCAAAACGTAGAGACGAGATCGTACCAGAAGTTGCTCGAGAAAACAGAAATAGGCAAGCATGCTCACGATGACGAGCACGGGAACTTCCTGCCAGACCCTAAAAAGATTTGCATATTGAAAGTTGTATCAATAGGATGATCATAAAAGAACAAGCTATACAAAGATGAAAATCGATGGTATGTTTAGGTCGAATACCTGTATCCATTGACATCTTCCTGCAGAGCTCGGATTGCTCCGGTGCTTCGAGCTCGAATACTTTGAATTCGTAACAGAGTAACGGGTAAGTTTCGGACCTCTTCCTTGCAGATATCACATGTCTTATTGCCCTTGATACTAAACCATTTGATGGCACAGTCCTCATGTGCCAAAGCCAGTTCACCTTTGCAGCTGCATTCCATCTTTAGCGTCTCGCCGCCCTCGCACAACTCGATCAAACAGATTCTGCAAACAGCTTCTTCTTCAGGTATATCTTCACCAGCATTATCTTCTTCTGAAACATGAAGAAGACACCATTAAATTAGTTTTTCAAATGAACTTTTCCCCCTTAACATGAGTAGAACATCTTGCTAGTAACGCCTTTGTAACGGTCTAAGTTCACCTCTAGTAGATATTGTCCTCTCTGAGGCTACCCCTCAAAGCTTTTAAAACGAGTCTGCTAGGGAGAAGTTTCCACACTCTTACAAGAAATGCTTCGTTTTCCTCCCCAACTGAGGTGGGATCTCACAATCCAACCCCTCTTTGGAGCCCAAGGTCCTTGCTGGCACTCGTTCCCTTCTCCAATCGATGTGGGACCCCCCAATCCACCCCCTTCAGGGCCCAATGTCCTTACTGGCACACTGCCTCTTGTCCACCCCCTTCGGGGATCAGCCTCCTCACTGGCCCATCGTTTAGTGTCTGGCTCTGATACCATTTACAATAGCCCAAGCTCACCACTAGTAGATACTGTTCTTTTTAGGCTATCCCTATCGGGCTTCCCCTCAAGGTTTTTAAAACGTGCCTGCTAGGGAAAGGTTGCCACACCCTTATCAGGAATGTTTCGTTCTCCTCCCCAACTGATGTGAGATCTTACAGCCTTAACCGTTCGACCAACTCCGAGTCAGTTTCATTAGAAAGAAAAACGAAAAAAAAAGTAATAAAAAAGTAGTCGATATTCTTTCATCGAATCATACCAGCTTCCTCTATGGTTACATCTAGCTTTCCACTTCCTCCCTTCACAAGCGGAGTCGAAGGAATAACACGAAAAAACGAGTCCATCCTCCTCAAGCTCGACTCTTTATCGTTCAATGGGACCGAAAGAGATCGAGATATTTGTCGTTGCGCTCCTTTCCCCTGCACAAAACACAAAGATCAAATAACATTACACAAGTTGTACATGTGTTCAAATATAACTTCTTGTCACCTATAGAACCAGACATGAAAAGAACAAAGAATTTGTCGAAAATGCTCGAGCCTTCGACCCGGTTAAAAGGAGAATGATGACACAAGTGGATACATACCATAAGGTTGGTAGCTCCTCCTCTACTTCCTCCATGTGTCGATTCGGGGTTCGAGTGAATGATCGTAGTAACAGGTAGAGATGAAGTCCTCTTTATCCTAGGGGTAAATATCTTAGTAAGAGACAAGGACCTAGCTATTGAAGGCTTCTCTTGAGCCCCGTTGGATGAACCTTCAAGAACAACGTTGGCAACCTTCTCAATATCTGAAGAACTTCTATGGATGAAGCTTAACTTGGGAAAAAGACTTCTTATAGATGATTTGCCTCTAGATGAAGATGGACCAGGTGATCCAGATCCATTAATTCTTGCATCTGAGGGGCTTGGTGTCAATACAAAATTCACTTTCTTAGGAGTTTGAGGCATCTTTATAGCCTGATAATCTCGAGGCGACGATTCGGGTGTTCGAGACGGTATCTCGAGTATAAGATTCGGTCTCTTCCATTGATTAGAATGCTCAATTTCCTCAGTTATCCCAGCTGTGCGCTCATCCTGGATGAAGAACTGAAAATAAGAACATAGAACAAGAACAAGAACAGGGCATTTCACAGCACACTCAGATGAAGATTTTAGGTATTAAAACTAGTGATAATCGATCACAAATCAACAGAAGAGTAGATATCATCACGATTCATCAGTTTAATATAAGGATTCAACACTTAGAACATGAAAATCTAGACTAAAACAGCTACAATCCTTCACTCCTCTTGCATCTTAGCTCAGTTTAAGTAATGTTCTTACAGAATTGCATAAGAAAATCAGAGGATAAAGAGAAAAGCCATTAAAATAAACGAGAAACAGAAGATTACCCAGAAAAGAAAACATAAAAGGAAACAGAGAACATCGTTCATTCATTGATCATACCTTTTCGAGAGGAATTGAAATGGTTCCCTCACGTGAACCCATCTCGGTTCCTTGAAGAACAAGCTTATCCCCGTTTCCCATTAGAGCTTAGAATCCACAAACCGCACAAACCCAGAAGAAAAAACTCGCCAAAAACCACGAAGAACATTCAAATTCGATCGGCTTTACACAGAAAAGAGGCAGGAGAGAGAGAGAGAGGGAGAGAGAGAGCTTGGAGAGGGGGAAATTAGAAAGAAATGGGGAATGGGGTGTGAGAAAAAAGTGAAAAAAGGATGAAGAAGAAGCCCCAACGCTATATTTATTGCAGCAAAAGGTGGAGCTACTGACGCCACTGGCACCGAATAAGCGTTGCTCTTGCCGTGGCATGTCTAACTGTGGAGGATAACAATGTATTTTTTAATATGAGCCTCCCAATCTTTCTTCATTAAATGCGTTTTAAATTTTTTGAGAAGTCTGAAACTGAAAATCAAAGAGAACAATATTTGTTAGCGGCGAGTTTGAGTTGTTATAAATGATATCAGAGCTAGACACCGATAATGTGCTAGTGAAGAGGCTGAGCCCTGAAGAGAGTGGACACAAGGCGGTGTGCTAGTAAGAACACTGGGCTCCGAAGGGATAGATTGGGGTGTCCCACATCGATTGGAGAAGGGTTCAAGAGGCAGGGAGGACGTTGGGCCCTGAAGGGGATGGATTGTGAGATCCCACGTCAGTTGGAGAGGAGAACGAAACATTTTTTATAAGGGTGTAGAAATCTCCCCCGAACAGAGGGAAAGATTGAAAATGAAAATACAAAAAATGACAATATTTGTTAGTGGTGAGATTGAACGGTTACAATAACCAGACGCACCAATGTTAGGCGAATGCATTTAAACACTCCAACTCTCGTAGAGACCAGAGCTTAACCACTCCAAAAAAAAGGCCTTAGAGAGCGGTTACTCTTCTTGCTTCCTATTTTTTTTTGGGAATATTTTGTTCTCCCATTCAATTCAAGTTTTGTCATTTCTTGGATTTCTTGTATTACTGATATATATTTACAAGTTTACGAACTTTGTTGGCGTCTTTTAAATTGAACTTTATGGATAAAGATCATAAACTTTCAATTTTACGTCACATTCTGTCAGTTTTGATGGTAAAGAGTTCGAGTTCAGCTAAAATGTTGACGAGAACAAGAAAAATTGAGGGACAAATTGTCACTCGTGAATACAATGAACGAGTCATAGTCAATTTTGTCAACCTCGTCGATAGTGTAATGAAGGATAAAAACGACACTGGCTGAAAGAGGAAGAGAATAGAGATTCCAAGGATGATGATCTCGTGTTCGATAGATTCTCCACTTGTCAATAATGGAAAATATGAATTAAAAGCATGGAAGCATATATTCCATTTTCAATTTTTGATGGCGTGAAATTTACCGATTTTTACAATTTGTTTATTCATTTTAATTATATATATATATCTATCGAGGATCTAAATTTGAACCTGATGACTCAAACATTCTCCTGCAATATGGTACGTGGTTCGGTTACTTACACCTCGTTTCCATGAGGATATCTTTAGATTTCAATTTTCAATTTCCAAGCATAAATACTATCCTCACAAACGTTCTTCTGCGATATGGTACGTGGTTATATTTCAATTTTCAGCCTTATAAAAAAAACGTCAACTCGTAAACCGAATCAAAATTTTAAAATTTTCAACAATTCAACCAAACTCAAACGAAAACAAAATCTAATTTATAATAAGAAACAAGTGAGTTATTGATTGATCCGTGATATTGATATCAAACCGTATGAATTTAAAATCCTCGTACTGATATCTTTGGATTGAGGTCTCATTATTCACATCTTTGAAAAAGGGACAAATCTCTCGTAGTTTCTCGACAGACACTTGACCTAATGAAACGCAAAGTCGGGAACTTAATAAGAGAGAGAGCGAACGTGAAAGTCGGTCCAACAATGAAGAATTAGTAGATTGCAGTAGGTTCGAACCCCGAGAAAGATAGAAGGAAATTAGTCAACTTTGATTAGTGGCTGAATATTTTTTATACAAATTTGTTGTTGGTGGGTGAGTTGATGATAAATACTTGCATTTATATCCTCTTTTTAGCACAATTAATGGGTTCAAATCATTTTGTCTCCCAATGATTAATCCATAGAGAAAAAAAAAAAAAAAACTCAAACTTGTTTAAAAAATACACTTATAGTTCGGGTTGAGTTAGGTTTTTTTTTTTTTTTTTTTCCGATATTGATTGCGTTAAATTTTTGAAAAATCGAAAAATTTGGATTAGTACGCGGGTTGACATTTTTTTTTGTCACGTTAATCCAACCAACACAAAAACAAGGTTATAACCCAATTCTATTTTTAAGATTATTACGAAGATTAAGGATATTTGTCGTGTATAACAGATGTTAGTACTGCGTTGCCGCTTTATCAAAATTTAATTATTAAAGTAATATGTATAATGGAAAACAAGGGTTTTTTTTTAAAAAAAAATAATTAAAAAAACCTCGGACAATCTAACTCAATTCGTTCGCAAGATTTCACGAACCCAATCTTATCCAACCCGTGTATAAAATTCTAAAATTCCATCTTAAAAAATTTAAGCCATTAGAAATTGGAACATGAATAATAGCCATTAATAATTGGAATAAAATAATTAAGTAAAAGCTATAATCAACGGATATAAATTCTCAAAATTATTTGAAAAGACATCAAAAGATTAAGTAATTATCGGTTTATTTTATGTAATAATTAATTTTAATTTTTTGAAAAATCAAGAACATATATGCCATCACGAATAGACTCTATACTTGAATTTCTAAATGAATGGAATATCATCGAAGAATCTAAATTCTAGTTGAGCCGAACATAGAAACAGTTAGCTAGAATGAGCTTCGAGCACCAAGTTAAGCCTAAAACTATATGTAAACCTTTTGTTTGAATGTGTACGGGCTAAGTTGGATAAAATTGTTTGACGCATGAATAACACGTACTCTGTAACCCTATTAACATGGAACTCTATGATGCATGTATTATCTGTATGTTTGATTATCACTGTTATGTTGATATGATAATGTTCACGTCTTATAAGATACCATGATGTAGCATATATGATAAACATGAATTAAACATCATGGATATGTCTGTACGTCTCGTAAAGAATTTATGTTTGATATTGAGCTACGTCTAGGCCTGATTCGTGTTCCTTCTTCATTAGTTTTGGTCAGCAAGAACGTAGCTCATAATCGGACCTAGACGTTAATGATCCCATCTAATGGGTTCATGTGTGCGTGCGTGCGTGTATCGTGTGTAGAGAAATACTATGTATTTAAGTCTATACGAAATGGTAATGAAAATTATTTTAACTTTCCATATTATGGCAGGAATATAATTCCAATGGTAATGGAGCTGCCAGCTCAGCTAGGGCGTGGGTGTGATGATTGGAGTCACCTGCAAATCGCCGATTAAATCCTTATTTTTCTTTTTGGTTTCTACTTTTTATTTTTTATTTCTTTAATTTAAAATTTAAAAATTTTCTTGGGAGACGTGTGAATTCGATATAGAATATTTCGTCTTAGATTATTAAGAAAAATAAATTAAATTAAATATAAATTAATTACAGATGGATTGTTAGAGAATTATAACAAGTGTTATCTCTCGATTACGGTAGAGTACACAGCTCTCTCATAAGAATTTCGTTAGGGTTTTCCTCATTACTCGAGCTCTCATTTAAATGTAAAGGCTTAAAGTGAACCAAGTGAGAATGATTTACCGTGTACTTCTGTAAGATGGAAACGTAAAACACATTATGAACTGTGGAGAGCGATGACGTTAAGGTTAGGTCAATTTGCTCAAGAATTTCAAATGGTCTAATAAAACATGTACTTTCGTCTGAACCTCGTAACATCCTTCATTGTCCTCCACCTTTAGGAATACCCTATCATCGTAACTATCCTCTTTACTTTGTGTTGTTCGCATCATTCTCGACCTCATTCGTGACTTGGTGTAATAGCTCAAGCCCAGTACTAGCAGATATTGTCCACTTTAACTCGTTACATATCGCTGTTAGCCTTATAAGGAATGCTTTGTTCCTCTCTCCAACCAACGTGGGATCTCACACTTGGACCGACTTAAAACTCAACAACTTAAATTTTTTTACCTCTTCTCAGTAAACGAGGAATCTGCACCTCTTTTCATAAAATGTCTCAAATGGTGTCATGCAAATGATTATTTGATAACTATTATTATAAGCACACTCTATAAGATGAAAGCAAGAGCTCTAGTTACTTGAAAAATCATGCGTAACATGTCTTTCAAGGTTTGAATTAAATGCTCGGTTTCTCCATCCATTTGTTGGTGAAATGTCATGCTAAGTTCCAACTATGTGCTATAAATGCCCGTTGAAGACCGCCAAAAGCTCGATGTAAATTAATTCATGTTTTTTTTTAAAAAAATTTAATTATGGGAAGTATCGATTATGGTTAACCTACATGTTATTCAATTCGTTAAGATATATATACTCGTCTAAAAGGTAAAGATCCAAATTTCCGTCATTCCACTTTGATACCATTTGCATGACATGTGACTAAAGGAGGAGTATATGAATAAATAAAGACCACATCTGAATGAGAGCATCTATACCAACAAGGCGTACCTTCCTTTTCAGTGGCTCAATCGTAATAACTTTATGGTTAAGCGTGTTTTTCTTGGAGCAATTTTGTGTTAGGTGAAGTCTTAGGAATTTTTCGAGAATACATGTGAGTGAGTATAGAACATGCTTCAAGGACTTGTGTTGGTCTGTGGGGATAATTTTTACTCTTAAGAGTGACGAGTAGACAACGTGACCATATTGTAGGGGAATGTTAGAGCCATCATATACCGAATCTGGATTCCATGGAAATTTCTGGAGCAATTTGGGTATAATCATTCAAACCATTTAAAAAGAATTGATTTCATTTTTAAATATATAAATTTGTATTAAGATAAAGAGAATAACTTTGTTCCAAAGGCAATGGAATGGTTGTGTGGTACCACAAAAAAAAATTGTTCTTTGATGAAGATGTTTCATTTTCAATTTAAATGTGGTTTGTGGGTGTGGGACCCACATTCTATATAAAGTTTTATTTATTTATTTATTTTTTATTTTTAATATCAATTGTATAATAAAAAGGAAAATAAAATAAAGTTTTTTTTTTCTTTTTTTTTTTTTAATGAATATGTTGCTGGAATGGAATGAATAAAAGAGAAGAATGGAACGAAAGAGAGAGAAGAT